GCTATCACAGCGGATCACAACGGCCGCACTTATTAGAAAGGCCAAGGCGAAGACAAGAACGCGAGGAACTACGTTCCCCCGGACGATGGTCTCCTAACGCCCCCTACTCCTGCCATTGTTACACAGACCGCAACAGTTATGCGCCTTTCCCCGCATGGAAAACATGACCTCTCCCAAGTGCTAGGGGCTGCTACAGCTACTCTGGCAATTTCATCAACTTGCGCCGGTGGTACTGCAGACTACCCCTGCTAAGGGCCTTGGTAAAGAGGTCCGCGTGTTGCTCCGTTGTCGGAACGAACTTGACCGAAATATCCCCCGACATAAACAATCCGCGGATGAAATGAAATCTCACGTCGATGTGTTTCGTGCGACCTGAGCTGAGGGGGTTCTGCACCAACGCTATGGCCCCCTGGTTGTCCTCAAGGNAAATGATACCTCACGTCGATGTGTTTCGTGCGACCTGAGCTGAGGGGGTTCTGCACCAACGCCATGGCCCCCTGGTTGTCCTCAAGGACCTGGATGCTGCCCCCACTGGTCTCTGGGGCAAGAAACGAAAGCACAGCACGCATAAACAGCGCCTCGTTGACGCGCAGCTTGGGCCTCCTCCGCGCGCTCGAACAGCAACTCTGGCACCGCCCTCGCCTCTAGCCCTTCCGCCACGTGAAGTACCGCCGAGAGCATCCAGCTGGTGAACTCCTCCGTGCTGCTGACGGGCAGGCTCGCCACCGAGGCGAGCAGGGCTTCGGCACTCGTCGGCGACGGGGGCGACTCGTACCTACCTGGGGTTTCGGCGAGGGTTCTCCCTGGTGCGGTGGCTGGTTAGTTCCGCCGGCTTGTCGAAGCGGGCGAGCCGCCGGGCCTCTGGCCCACGGAGCGCCGGGAGATCCGCCTCGCTGTCGCTGCCGCTGCTGCTGTAGCTGCCTCTGTCATCGCCGCTGCTGCTGTTGCTTCCGCTTCCGCCGCTACCGCGGCTGCTGCTGCTGCGGCGGTCGTCCACGCCGCCGCCCACATCGGCTGTGCCGGTCGAGNCCGGAACTCGCCCGCCAGCGTCGTCCCCTGCTGCTTCGCCGTGGTCCTCAGCAGCATCTCGTGGGAGTGGCCGTGCGCGCAGTGGAAATCGTTGATGTTAATTGGGGTGCTGGACGCTTTCGCGTTGCCAGGAGCAATTGCGGCATAGGCATGTCCGGTGTGTGTGCCGAAACCGTTTTGGACGTACAGGTTACCGCATCGGGGAAAGTACACCGACTACCCCCCCTCTCTCCAATTCCAACTCGTGTTTATTGAGGGTTATGATTTCGAACCCATCGTCGAAGAGGGACGTGAGAGATACTAGGTTTTAGCCTAGTCGGGGAACGTGTGCAACCCGTTTCAACAACAGGTCGGTTGTACCGTCGCGCGAGCTAAGGGT